AAGTCAGCCAGACTCAAAAACCAGGCAAGAGTTTAGCTCGGTAAAGAGAGGTAATCCCAGTCATGCTGAAGCAGATGGAATTAAGGGGCAATTGAGAGGGGAATTTGTGCCAACAAATGGACTAAGCTAATCCTAACGTGGACCTTCATTTTGGACCGCACAACCCGATTTGCTCATTTAGGATGTTGGATCATATTGGGCGGTGAACGTGGATTGCGTGCCGCGCTAAGCACGTGCATTGGTGATGGACCTTGCTGAACAAAGAATAAGCCATAAGTATAGATCGGGCTAGGCTAAGATGAGATTACTACCTGAGACCATACTGAAGCTCCTAACCAAGCTAACACGAGAGCTATACGGATGGTGAACTATGAGGATTCCGACCAGGCTAGACACAAAGAGTCCGAACAATTGGGCCGAGCTATAGGAATAGTAGAATGGTTGTCATAGATTAGCCCAATTGGATATAGCAAAAGTGAAATCGAGCCAAGTGGTTGCTCGGTGAGGGCATCCTACGTGGCCTAATGGAATAAGGAGATTAATCCACTCAAGGTAAGCATCAATACCATTTGGCAGTTTGGCCAATGTTGTTTGGTAGTATTAATGCGTACACTTGTAAGGAATAGAGAGAGTAGTACAACCACTCGTCCAGTAAAGGACGATAGAAGTAATGAGCGCACAACCTTGAGAGGCAAGGCAACAGCCTAGATAAGGCAGATGACCTCACACTCAGAAGAGGATAAGCGAATTCTAACAAAACTCTCTCTCTCTCTCTCTCTCTCTACATTCCTTCTGTCTCTAAAGAGTGCTAACTTGACCATTAAAGGGTTTTCGGCAATACACCCGCCGGGTAGCTTACCGTTTTTGTGCTTTCAGGAAGTAAAACGTCATTGCTTGGTATCAAAGTGTACGGGCGACGACGAATATTTACTCCTCATACAGTAAGTATTGGGCAAATGTATAATTTCAAATTGTAACACTCAAACGTAACACTCCAATGTAATACTACAAAAGAAAAAAAAAATCTTATGGTAGTTTTTCCCAAATGTAACACTGCAATATAACATTCTAAAAAAATTCATAAGTGTAATACTCCAATGTAACACAAAAAAAAAAAAAAAACTCTTTAGTGTACTTTTTTCAAAAGTAACATTCTAATATAACACTTCAAAAAAAGGATGTGGATTCTTCAAATCATTCCAAAAGAAGTACAAAAATTCCTTAGTAAGGTTTGAGCAAATGTATAATTTCAAGCTATGAGTGTTGCATTTGGTAAAAGTATATTAATGAGTTTTTTTAGTATTTTTGTGTTTATTACATTGGAGTATTACGTTTGGGATTACATTGATTGGAATGTTGCGTTTGGTATTTTTTAGTAAGGTTTGAGCAAATGTTACGTTTGGGAGTGTTACGTTTGAGAAAAGTATACTGAGAATTTTTTTTTGTGTGTTACATTGGAGTGTTATGTTTGGAAAAAAATATACTAAAGAGTTTTTTTAGAATGTTACATTGTTATGTTTGGGAAAAGTATATCAAGGAATTTTTTAGTGTGTTACATTGGAGTGTTACCTTAGAATGTTAAGTTTTCGTTCGTAATGTGGAATTTGTTCCAAAAAGAGGGAAAATCCAAAACTTCTATAGTGCAGATTGTCCAAATGTGTAATTTTACATTTGGTGATTTTCACTAGGGAGGCGGATTGGTTAATGGACTCAACAAGATCCAGAATCTACACAACTCTGGTGAAGATGGCGAGAGGAGAAGAAGTTCATCAACAAGGCCCTTCCGATGGTGGTGATGAGAGGACTTAAGTTCAAGACCCACCCCTCATCCTTGAAGCCATTCAAGAACTCCAACACACGCAACAAAAGATTCTCACGACCCTCCAAAATCTCACCCATACCATGTTGGTGATGGGTTTGAATTTCGCACCACCGGCAACAAATAGAGGTCAAGTCGGCGCCGAAAAGCATCAACAACTTCATGGTGATGTTGGGAATGGTCAAAACCATCAAGACCCACCCCTAATTTTCCTTGAAGTTGCACAAAATGGTGTGCAAAATCAAGTGTTAGGAGGAACAAATCATAGCCAACCTGTGGCCCATGGAGCGCAAAATCACGCACCTAGAGGATCGAGCCATGGTCCATCGGTGGTTTGAGGGTTGTATAAGGGAAGTCATGGAGAGAGAGAGAGAAGGAAAGAGATTAGGAGGAATGCAATGAAATGGGAAGAATTGGCAATAGAGGTAATTGATGAAGGTGGCAATTCAGATAAGAACATTGATGAGTTTGTTGCTAAGCTGGTGAAGACCTAAGCCTATTTATGTTGGATATTATTTCCTACTATTTTGAGTTGTTCTATTGATATTATTAGTTTGTGTCCTTAGTTTGGCTTTTCTAATTTGATAAGGAGTACTTTCTTTTGATAAAATTTTTAATTTGTATAATCTTTGTATTCTAGTTATATATTTTTCAAGAAATGAACATGTATTCAGTTTTCTTTGTTGTAATGAATAGCGACATATACCTTTTGAATTGATTGGTATAGCTTTGTCCAAATTGAGGCTTGAGTACCTAATTTTTAAATTGAAATGATAAATTATTAAAGTTTGACTTTTAACACTTTTAACTATTATAATTCGATCTAATTTTATTTTAATTATTATTATTTTAAATTGAACAATTTAATCCTTAAACTAATTTTAGTTTCAATTTAGTCATTGTGTAAAACTTAGTGGTTAAAGAACAATTTTGAGATAGAATGATCAACTTACTAGATTTGAAACTATAATAAGATAAACGAGCTGTTATTCCCACTCAATTTTACTTCATTCTTTGTCCTTATTATACATAGTTACTATTCTCACTCTACTTTCACTACAAGAAAAAAGGACTTTATAACACGGAAGCATTTGCAACGGCATCACTTACTGTCGCAAAAAGTGATTTTTTGAGACGGTACCACTTGCCATCGCCAATAATGGGTTTTTAGCGACAACACCCCTTCCTGTCACAAAAAAGCCACTTTTTTGCAACAGTAACAACTAAAGTCGCAAATAATGTGCATTTTTTGTGACGGTAACCTATGCTGTCACAAATAAAGCTATTTTTTGCGACGGCATGAATTGCAGTCGCAAATAAGAGAGTTTTTTGCGACAGTAATAGGTGCTATTGCAAAACAAAAAAAAATAGAAAAAACGAGACTTTTTGATGAGACGGCATTAGAAATATTGGCAACGGCATTTTGCTGTCGCAAAAAACTAAAATTTTTGTAGAGTTTCACCCATTTTTTTATCTCTCTGTCTCTCTCTATCTTTCTTTCTCTCTCTCTTTCGCTCATCTCTCTTTTCTTTCTCTTACTCTTTTTATTTCTCTTTCTCTTTTTCTTTTTCTTTCTCTTTCTCATTCATCACTCATTGTCTTTATGTCTGTGTCTCTCTCTCTCTTCCTCTCTCTCTCTCCCACACTGTGCTCGCATTGCTCACTCTCTCTCTCTCTCCTCTTCTTGATTTATCGATCTCCCTATCAATTTATCAATTTCTTTTTCTCTTTCTTTCTCTCTCTCTCTTCTTTCAATTGCTTATCTCTCATTTCTCTTAATCACTTGTCAAAAGAGAAAAAAGTCAAAAAAAGAAATGGGCCTCTCTTTCTCTCTATCTCTCGCTCATCTCTCTTCTCTCTCTCTCTCTCCCCCTCACTCATTACTCTTCTCTCTAGCTCTCTCATCTCTCTCCGCTCTTTATCTCTCTTGCTCATATTTCTTCTCTCTCTCTCTTTCTTTCTATGTCTCTCTCTATATCTCTTATTTACTTCTTTTTGCTATCTTTCTCTCTCTCTCTTTGTCTATCTCTCGCTCATCTTGTTTCTCTTTTTGCTCTCTCTCTCTATGTGTCTCTCTCTCTTACTCATCACTCTTCTCTCTGGCTCTCTCATCTCTCTTCGCTCTCTATCTCTCTTGCTCTTCTTTCTTCTCTCTCCCCCTCTCTCTATATCTCTTATTAATCTCTTTTTGTTCTCTCTCTCTCTCTCTCTCTTTGTTTATCTCTCACTCATCTTGTTTCTCTTTTTTTTTTTTTTCTTTCTCTCTATCTCTCTCTCTATGTCTCTCTCTCTCTCTCTCTCACTTATCTCTCTTCTCTCTCAATCGTTCATTCCTCAATCACACGCATCTCTTTCTCTGAGCCCATTGTTGTTGAAAGAGGAAAAAGTCAAAAAATAAAATGGGTCTCTCTCTCTCGCTTTTTCTATGTGTCTTTCGCTCATCTCTCTTCTCTCTCTTTTTCACTCATCTCTCTTCTCTATCTCTCTCACTCATCTCTTTTTTCTATCTCTCTCATCTCTTTCTATCTCTCCTGCTCATCTCTCTTCTCTTTTTTTATGTCACTCTATATCTCTCTCGTTCATCTTCTCTCTCTCTCTCTCTCTCGCTAATCATCTCTTGTTTCTCTCTCATTTTCTATTTCTCTCTCTTCCTAGCTTTTAGTTTATATTTATAAAAATTTACAAAACTGTTATAAAAACTTATTTGATAATTTTTTTGACTTATAAATGGTTGTCTCAGTTTATAAATTTGAGGAAAAATTGTAAACTCAAAAAATGAGTTTATGTTGGTTTTCAAACAGAAATTTAAAAATTTGACTAACGAATTTTTTTAATTAATTTTCTTTCAATTAATTTTTTTCTAATCAAATTTTTTTCAAATATAATGTGTATGATCCCATTGTCATAAATAATAAAAAAATAAATATAAATATTGTAGGCTTAGACAAACATATTTTTTAGTTTATTTTTAAAAATTTTTTTTAAACATTTTGTTCAAACCAAACACGTTTGTAATTTATGTTTTTCTAAAAATAAACAAAAACTAATTTATAAAATTATTGTAAATATAAACGAAAAACGTAAATGTTACCAAACGCTACCTTAAATTTTCATTTGTGACAGTTATACTTGACGTTGCAAAAAAAAAAAAAAAACCACCAAAAATCTAATTCACGCTCCTTTTTTCCCCCCTCAACCAAAAATCCCCAAATCTCAATTCCCTATTCTTTTGAACCAAAAATCCCCATCTCTCTCTCTCTCTCTCTCTCTCACTCTCACGACTGTGAGCAGGGCAAACGATGGCTTTGAGCGACAACGAGCAGCGAGTAGCATGAGACCTATATTCATCATTAATCTGGTTCGTTAGTTATATCTGCTTCTTGTACATGTACAGGCGAGGTCGTTAGAATCCGACTTTTTTGTGAGTTCGATTCATCGTCTCTCTCTCTCTCTCTTGGACTGGGTTGTGGTGGGTGTTGGACTGTGAGTTTGCTACATGGGTTATGGTGGGTGTCCTCATTCTTGGACTGGTTTTTCCAAACAAGCTTTTGTTGGGCTTTGGGATTTCTTCAAACTGTCTGTGGCTTCTGGGGTCAAGCTCTCGTATGTGCTCTCTATATCTCTCAATGATTTTGATTTTGATTTTGAATTTGAATTTGAATTTGAATTTGAATTTGAACTTGAAATCTACTTGTTATTTTTCAGGTTGGAGAATTTTTATTATAGAGTGTTGATTATAATCTCAGGGAATATGAATAATGCTGAAGTTGCTCTTGATGCCCTATCCATCTGGTTGGATCTGTTGTGCTTTGGTTTGTTTATTTATCTTCATTGCAAATTGAACTGTTTTTCTTATTCTGAACATTTTAATTTGTTCTTTTTTTTACAGCATTACGATCTATATTTTCTTCTTTTTTTTCTTGTTCTAAACATTTTTCTTCTTCTTCTTTTGTTTTTGTTTTTTTTTTTGTTGCCATTTTGCAATTTATATTTTCTTGGATTGTAACTACTTTTTTCAATTAGTTACTTCAGCAAGAAGATGTTCCTTAATTACTAATATTGTTGACTTGAGTTATCCTTAATTTTTTAAAAAATAAAATAATAAAATGATTCAATGAATTTTGCAAGTCATGATAAGATTAAAAAAATGTTTTGCTTCCCTGATGTATCTAAGCATCATAGGTAAATAAAGATTTTCAACTTTCTAATGCTCTTGATGGTCTATTTCTAATTTATGATTGGACTTTCTATCCTAACTCATAGGGTTTATGTGGGAAATCTTTCGGGGGCTGTTGATGATTAAGCCCTTGAAACCTTATTTAGTGAGCAAGGTAAGGTTATGGAAGCCAAGTTTGTTTATGACAAAGACAGTGGTAGATCAAGGGGTTTGGGGTTTGTGACCTTTGGTTCCTCAGATGAGGTCAACAATGCAATTGAATCATTGGATGGTGTTGTAAGTATATTGATTATCTTTTTCTTCATTATGTGTTTTTTGTCTTTATTAGTTTTCTGCTCTGTTTGATTCCTAGAAAGTTAGGAGAAAAATATATGTATTTGGAATTTTATAATGGCCCACCAACTTAAGCATGCACTTTTCTAGTTTTCATTTCCTTTCAGACCATCTGTTTGTCAGCATATTTTGGGTTTGTTTTGTTGTTGATTTAATCAATAATTGCAAAGTGAAAAAAAAAATATATGTTTCTCATACTAATACAGAGCTGAAATTCTGTAACTTTGTACAAATTTTCCTTTTTAATTTAAATAATAGTGTGATGCATGGGATTTGTTATGGAAGTAATTCTAACAGTTAGCATTGCATGTATTTCTTTCTTCACTTATCTACTGCACTAAAAATTGGGATTTTTTATATTATATTTTACTGGCCAATTTGTAGATGGAAAAATATATATGTTATGTGATCATTCATGTAAATTTTTTTTAATGGACACCAAACATTACTTTAGTTTTATGTGTATAATTTTATAGATTTTCTTTTTTATAATTTTATTTTTCTAAAACTGACTTATTATCTCTACTCTAGGACCTAAATGGCAGGTCAATCCGAGTAAGCATGGCTGAAGCTAGGCCAAGGTGTCAATTTTGATCATTGAACCTTTTGAGCTTTCTTCAACTAAGAACACACTCGGGGTACATATTTAATGAATTTGCATTTAAATTGTTTGTAATCCTCCTACATCTTGAAAATTGTACTTTAGGCAATTGTCTTGGTGTTTTTTGGCTTTAAAGAGATCCAAAACATGTAAACATGTTGCAAGAGGTTTCCCATATAGATTATCATTTCAAATAAAATACTTTATTTTCCTTTACACTTTAAGTTCTTGTGTTTACCCTTTTTTATTGTAGTGTATGCAGCATTTATTTGGTGACTTGAAAAAACTAGTTTCATGTTCACATGATGGATCTTTACCAAAATGATGTTGGTCTAAACAAATTAGTTCAAACTGGGTACATACGACCGCCTAGGCACAAGAGACTCGCGGGAGAAGACGGAACTCATATCGGGTTTTTGGTTTGGGAGCTAGAGTCGGATTTCACGCTAGGCAAACTAGTTCCTTAAGAAACTTAGAATTCAAGGTGTTGATGTCCCAAAATTACCAGATGGCATCAGATTAGCACGAAACATGGCACACATGACTGCCTAGGCACAAGAGACTTGTAGGAGAAGACGGGACTCGAATCGGGTTCCCGATTTGGGAGTTAGAGCCGAATTTCACGATAGGCAAACTAATTTCTTAAGAAACTTAGAATTCGAGGTGTTGACGCCCTAAAATCACCAAACGACGTCGGATTAGCACGAAACTTGGCACACACGACCATCTAGGCACGAGAGACATTTGGGAGAAGACGAGACTCGAATCAGGTTCCCGATTTGAGAGTTAGAGGTAGATTTCACACGAGGCAAAGTAGTTCCTTAAGAAACTTAGAATTCGAGGTATTGACGCTCCAAAATCACCAAACCACGTTAGATTAGCACGAAACTTGGCACACACGACCGCCTAGGCACGAGAGACTTGTGGGAGAAGACGGGACTCGAATTGGGTTATTGATTTGGGAGTTAGAGCCGAATTTCACGCTAGGCAAACTAATTCCTTAAGAAACTTTGAATTCGAGGTGTTGACACCCCAAAATCACCAAACGGCATCAGATTGGCACGAAACTTGGCACACACGACCGCCTAGGCATGAGAGACTTGAGGGAGAAGACGGGACTCGAATCAGGTTCCTGGTTTGGGAGTTAGAGCTAGATTTCACGCTAGGCAAACTAGTTTCTTAAGAAACTTAAAATTCGAGGTGTAGACGCCCCAAAATCATCAAAAGGCGTCGGATTAGCATGAAACTTGGCACACACGATCGCCTAGGCACGAGAGACTTGTGAGAGAACACAGGACTCGAATCGGGTTCCCGATTTGAGAGTTAGAGCTAGATTTCATGCTAGGCAAACTAGTTCCTTAAGAAACTTAGAATTTGAGGTGTTGACGGCCCAAAATCACCAAACGGCGTCGGATTAACACAAAACTTGGCACACACAATTGCCTAGGCATGAGAGACTTGTGGGAGAAGACGAGACTCAAATCGGGTTCCTGGTTTGGGAGTTAAAACCGAATTTCACACTAGACAAACCAGTTCCTTAAGAAACTTAGAATTCGAGGTGTTGACGCCCCAAAATCACCAAATGGCGTCGGATTAGCACGAAACTTGGTACACACGGCCGCTTAGGCACAAGAGACTTGTGGGAGACGAGACTCTAATCGGATTCCTGATTTGGGAGTTAGAGCCGGATTTCACTCTAAACAAATTAGTTTCTTAAGAAACTTAGAATTCAGGGTGTTAGCGCCCAAAAATTACCAAACGGCGTCGAAGTAGCACGAAACTTGGCACACACGACCGCCTAGGCACGAGAGACTTGTGGGAGAAGACAAGACTCAAATTGCGTTCCCGGTTTAGGAGTTAGAGCCGGATTTCAGTCTAGGCAAAATTATTTACTTAATTATCTTTGTAATTGTATAGTAGTTAAATTTTCATATTTTTTTTGTAATTAACATATTAACACATAATTATATTATTATTAATTATTTTTATTTTTTGTTTTCGGATATTTCCCGAGTAGGACCTGTGAAAAATACGACTAGCTTTTGTTTTTGTTACCCACGAAGAATGATGAGGAAAACTTTTAATTTTGGTTTATGTTATTTTGAATTATGAGCAACATTATGTATTCAAACATTATATATGTATTATGGAACATTATGTAGTGGGGTAATTTTGTTGATGCGTAGTTATAGATGCAAAAATATTTTTGTAATGGAGAAATTGTTATTTCTATACAAGAATTTTTATACTATTATGCAATTATTGGTTTCTTTTTCAATTGTTTTTCATTTAATACAAGTAATTTAAATATTTTTAATAATTATATTGCTTTTTTTTTGCGACGGTGTCACACCGTCGCAAAAAACAGATAATTTTAATATTTTTATTAATTTTATTGCAACTTTTTTTTTTTTGCGACGGCACCACACCGTTGCAAAAAAACATTAGAACCATTAGTGACAGTGGTCATGTTGCAAAAAAAAAAAAATTGCGACAGCATTTCTTGCCAGGTCAAATAAAACTTTTAGCGACGGTAAAACAGTGCCATCGCAAAAAGTCTCAATTTTTTACATATTATAGGCAACAGTAAAATACTGTCGCAAAAGGCAACAATTGCCGTCGCTAATGCCATCGCTAAAACTTTTTTGCAACACTCTCTGTTGTGACCCCTCCTTTGCAGGCACTAAAAGTCATTTGCCGTCACTAAAAGTTTTTTGAGACGGCATTAGGAGTATTAGCGACGGCATTTTATCTTCGCAAACACCTAAAATTTTTGTAGTGTTTGTTCCAAATAAACTCCCTTCTATGTATAATAAGGACAAAGAAGGGAGCGTTTTTGGAGTAAAATGGAGTGGAAATAGTCCCTAACTAAAGTGAAATATATATCAAACTACAATGCTGAGAAGTTAACGCAAACTTTTATTTAAAGTTTAGGACAAAATACGTCAATAGTCCCTTTGTACCATTTTAGTTCCTATAATTTTAATTTGCTCAATTTTAATATTTAATTTTAAATTTTATATTAATTTAATCCAATCAATAACTTCTATTAAGTTTTTTAACAGAAAAATTCATGTGCACCACCTGTGACATATTCTGAGGGGCAAAATAAACATTTTCATTCCATCCCTACAACATTTGAGACACCTACCACTATGTAGCTCCTCCTCTACTGCCAGTGATAAAATACAATTTTTGTAAATATTTCAATAAAGTTTTTAAAAATATTTCAACATTCTTATACAATACATTCTTCAAAAATATTTTAATATATTTGGATAAATTACACTGACCTCTATGAGGTTTTTTAAAATGACTTAAACTTCTCATAAGGTTTAATTTTTAATTGCATTGATCTCTTTGAGATTTATTGAAATGTAGAAACTTTTCCTAGACTTTCTCAAATGACATAAATTTTCTTTGAGGTTTGCTTTTCAATTACATTGACATCCCCTGAAGTTTAATGAAATTACAAAAACCTCTTATGTGGTTTTTTTATTATTATTATTATAAATTCTTTTTTCTATTATTTTATTGTAAAAGAATAATTGAAAATATTTAAATCATTAAATAATTTAATTATATTTTAATTTTACCTTTTAAAGCTATATCCAATTACAAATAAATAAAAACATATATAATTTTATTTTTTCTCTTTATTATGCCTACAATTACTGTTGATTGTGTGTGTCTCCTTTATCAAAAACTGCCTAGCATTGTAAAAAAAATAACATAAAATGTTGATATCATTAAATAATTTAATTACATTTCTAGTTTTACCTAAGACTAAAAACGAGTCGAGTTAAGTCGAGCTTTGTTGAGTTTAAGCTTGGCTCGTTTACTTATCGAGCTCATTTATTGAGCTCAAACTCGGTTCAATAACTAATTGGGCTTGAGCTCGGCTCAGCTAGGCTCGATAAGATTTTTATTATTATTATTTATATTCTTTAATACATAATTTTGTATTTATATTATTTAATACATAAATAATGTATTTATGTATTATTTAATATATATGTATTATTTAATATATAAATAATATATTTATTATATGATTTAAATAAAGATAAATGAGCCGAGCTTGTTCGAGTTCGAGTTCAACTCGTTTACTAAATGAGTTGAATCAATCCGAACCCTTAACGAGTCGAACTAATCTGAGCCCTTAATGAGTTGGTTCATTGTTTGATGCCCTGGTTCGAGTGTCATTGCTATGTGATGGAGTTTTATTTTCTCTTAATCTTATTACCCTCTTGCTGACTAAAAAAAAGAATAAAAATTATTGCATTTACTGGTCAAGATGCCTTGTTTCTTCTATAGTCTGATGTTGGGAGAATTAATGTATGTTCCCCAACCAATTAAGATGTTGGAGAAAATGCAACACAAAATTGAAGATATCATTACTCAATTTCAAGGGCAAAGTCTTTAATTTGATAAAATATAAACTAATTTGACAAAAATAAACGCCAAAAAAATATTTTTGAATTTTTAAAAATTATTTCTATCTATCAAAGATAAAATTATATAAAATTAATAAATCTTTTACACATTTATTTATTTATTTATTTACCAAATTAATTTTTATTATGTGCTTAGATGATAATCATGTAATGGATGGTTGTTTTTATTTTCATTAAATTAATTTCTATTTTTTCCAAAACTTAAATATACCGACAACTTTGATATCATTATTAAATCAATCCATTAAATCAAAAAATCCAAAACTAAAAGCATTTCACATATAAAATATATTGATTATACATTAAAAGCCTAACAACCACACATTACATGATCATCATCCAAACACATAATAAAAATTAATTTGGTAAAATAAATAAATAAATACGTAAAAGATTTATCAATTTTACATAATTTTATCTTTGGTGGGTAGAAATAATTTTTAAAAATTCAAAAATATTTTTTTGACATTTATTTTTGTCAAATTAGTTTATATTTTATCAAATTGACGACTTTGCCCGTAAAATTGATGAATGGTATCTTCAATTCTCCTTTTTTGGAATAAGATTCAAAATTGTAACGAGTTGAATCAAATTGAATTTTGCCCTTATTATTATTGTTGTGGTGTCGTGAACCATTATATTTAAATTGGTGAAAATAAATTGAATTACTTCTTGATAAGTTCGGTCTTTCTTTAGATATCTTACCAGAATCTGTTAGAACATAATATAATCTTTGGCATGTGGCTTACTCTCGTGCCT